AGGCTTGGTTTGAAGTCGATGTTTTCATGTTCAGGTTTTTGCAAGCTTGCGTGTATTTATTTAGGTACTGCGAGTTTAGTTTAGCGTAATCTTTGAGTTTAGCGTAATCGAGATCGTGTAGCGCGCAATGTTCTTCCCACTTCATAAAAAGAATTCCTGGGAGTTTTGAGCGAGCAAGTCAGTTCAGGTTACTAAAACTCAAATCGGCTGTGTAGCCATTGAGTTCGAAATTGTGGATTAGTTTCCGTAGGAAATCAGTGTTTCTGATAAAGCCCTGTGGTTTGCTTAGTTTCATTTTGTCAAATTTTTTGAGTTCCTTGATGAACGCTGCCAGCACATATTCTGGGTTAACGTATCTAAAAACGAATACAAATTTTGCCTGTTCAAACAGAGAAGAATTGGTTCCGTGGCGCTCTATTAAGTTTTTAGCATTATCAGTACATAATGACTGCAAAAAAGTAAATTTATCAACCGGGATTTGGCGTTTGTTGTTGCCTATCGCAGTAAGAAAGAGTTCGAACCAGTGGTTCCACTACAGTGGTTTGCCGTCAAACTTTTGTAGTTTTATATCGGGTAATTTGACTCCTTTCAAACTGTACTCGATGCCAGTGGTCGGATGATTGGTATTAAGGTTGATGAATTGTCTTTGTTCATTGCCGAAAATGCTGTTGCGCTGTTGGTCGTGTGATTTTGAGTTATTCCCATGGTGATCGTTGAAGTGCTTGGCAACAAACTGTTCAGATGTAGTAACAGGACGATTCATAATTGAAATTGTTAGCAGACCATTTTGGTTACTGCCAGTTGACATCTGGGCTTCGTGTGTTGAGTTGTCATTCCAATTGGAGTTTTCATTGATAATTGTTGGAGGCGAGAAATTGTATCGTAGAGGAGCGCGAAAGTTAAAAAAACCCAGCTTTGCAGTAGATGAGACTGATTTGAAATCAATTGCAGAGGTAGCGGTGACACCGTTGATTGTCTGATCTATAGCTATGTTGTTTCCCGGTAGAGGTGGGAAGCCATAGCGATGAGGAGCGTCTAAGTCGAAAGTACTCAAACCGTAGGCGGACGTGAAAGTTGAAAAAGTCAGCAGCCGTAGTACTTATGACGCTGTTGGACAAGTTTTCAAAAGTATTTGAGATTCTTAATGGTACACTGACAGTTGTAGATGTGCCTTGCACTCTGAGTGGGCTGTTTGACCTTGTGGAAATTGAACCATTGTTTGTTAAGACTTTTTCGTACTTCCTAACAACAAATAGTAGGTTGCACTTTCGTTTTCGTAGCGTTGAAGCAGTGTCGAGGCAGTCTAGTGCTTCTTGAGTGGAAAACGCTCACAAGTTCTCTGCAAGTTTATCGAGCAGATCTAAGCAAAAGGTGACCTCCCTGGAAACTAAAATTAACGTACTCGATTTTGCTTGAGTTGGCTATTTGCCTCGTTACCTCTTCTTCAAAGTCCTCAAAAGTAGTGGCGGCGTCTCCATTGATTAAGTAGTTGTAGTAAGGTTGTCTTTGCTGGAGTCATTAAAGAAAATAGTTTAAGGATAAGTTGTTCAGTCAACAATGTGGTTTAAGATTTTTTGAGCTCGGATGACAGCGATCGCTCAGCATTTCCGTAAAATTAAGTCTTGTGAGTTTTACTATAAGGTACGATTACATTTTTTTTGTTCAACTCAACCAACCATAGGGTTGACTCATAGTGGTTGAGTTAATAAAAATGAGAGACAGATCACGCAGTTATGAGCGCTTTGATTTATGGTTGAAGGAAAAGTGGTGAAACTTTGAAAAAATTTTTGGAATTCAAATGAGTTAGAAAGTTTTGAGACTTTCAAAAATCTTCGTACAAGTTTTCGTAGACGTGGCTAGTAAAACCCTTTCTAGTTGCGGGTTAAAAAAAGCGTTGCGGAAATAAGAGGGCTTTTGAAAATTTGAAGCACGAGTTTTGGGCTAAAAATTGGCTATCGGGTTTTGGCTATTAGTTTTTTGTATATGGGGAAACCTGTTTTTTTGATAACTTCTACTTTGGTACTCCGAGGGTTAACAATAAATTGATCAAATGAACTTTAAAATCTGGGGTTGTAGAATTATTTAACATGAAAAGTAGCACAAACTTATTTGCGAGAATTAACGTCAGACAAACTTATGTCATGATTACCACGAATAATATTGTAGCTGTTCTTATAACTATTGCTTGCCGCAAGTATTACTTTTTGATGCTGATTTTTTTCACTTTATTTATTGTTAATAAAACATCTTTTTTAAATTTTTTTTTTATATTAACCACCAAAACTGTTATCATTATAAAAACAAATTTCATTTCGATTATGAAGTGGAGACTAAAAACTTGGGGTCTCTAATTTCACCCAAAATCAAGTGCCTACAATAGCGAAGAAACAAATGATTGAAAAGTTACAGTGATGTTCTTCTGTTCAGCTAACGGTTTAATTGTTGATTGTGATGAAACGAATTTTGATATTATTTGTAGTTTGTTTCCATTTACTTTAGTTCTTTCACAAAACTTGAAATAGCTTAAAAATATATCAAAAAAACCTGCTGCCAAAAATTTATGTGTTTCAAGCGCACATCGTTGATATATTTTTCGTCAAAATGTTTTTTATGTCCTTGCTCCGAAGGTAAAACTCAAATGTCTACAATTGCAATTATGTTTGAGTTTTTAATTTCAGTTAAGGTTCCAACATTCTTGTGAAAAGAGCACTCATAACTTCAATTCATTTATTTCGCATTTTTTCCCTTCAACTAGGGATTGAGTAATATTCAAAGTCCAAAAAATTCAAGGAGAGCCTTCAAATAGCTCAAAAAATCTCGGCCAAAACGGTTTTAAACAATAAGATTTGAAGAAAAAACTTAAATAAATCGATATTTTTTCAATAACTAAATCAGTTGGCAAACAATTTAAAGAGGGTATTAACCTTCAAACTTAAATTAAATTTACAGTAAAATTAAAATCTGGGAAATCCAATTCAATTTCATCCATTTTTCTTTTGAAAACAAAATTGTTCAGATCTTTTTTGACACTTAAAATGCAAATTGCTAGTAATTCAGCCTTTTGATGATATCGCAATTACAACTATACTTTATTGCAGCAGAGCACATCGTTTATCTGGTTAATTTTTTCAGCTGTTAAAATTTTTGAGGGTTTTTCCCTCGATAAAAATTCTAAAAATTTCAAGAAAAACTGAAGTATTGATTGAATCACAACTGAAAATGAGACTATGAGACTAAGCTTACATGAAAAAAGATTCCTCACCTTAAAATCCCGAACTAATAAACCCAGGATTTTGACAATGATTCCACGAAAAAATCTAAAAAAGTGTTTTTCGGCCAATTAAATAGTCTTTAAGGTACTTTTTTTAAAATCAGCCGTGAGTTCGTCTAGCTTTCTTAGATTATTTTGTGATATATCCATTTGATTGCCACACTTTTTAATTCTTCCTTTACTAGGACAAAAAAGTTTTCCATTTTTTTGACTCTGGTACAAGACTGAGGGCTGAAATTTCGTTCGACGTTAAAACTAGCTCGTTGTTCGGTTCATAAGTCTTCTTAAGACCCAATTCAGAAGTTTTCCGCCAATAACCCTGATAAAACATAAAGTAACAACCCCTAATTTCAGCTTGGCAATGAGACGCAAAAGCATTCAACGCCGCAATTTCAAAGTCAATTAAAAACTTTTCAGCGCTTACGTCGCCGATAAGTGATATAGCGCGGTTATGGTTATGAAAATTTTATTTAATGATAAACATTTGTTGCTGAGCAGGGCGTAAACGCAAGGTGGATAAAATACTGCAGTCTGGACATATACTGGGTAGAGCTGGTATAACTGACTAGGACAAATATTCAAAGTACTGTCTACAGGCCAGGTTCTGTTGAACAGGTTGATTGCGTTGCGGTTCTCAAAATTGCCAAAAATCATTTTTTGCTCCAATCCTTGTTTTCCGCTATCAAAAAGACAAAATTGCCTAAAGAGATCTGGTGTTTCGAAACGACGGTCACTCGTGGCAAGGATGGGCAGGGATGTTGTTTGCTAGCTTTGGTTCAGATTTCTCGTTTTAACCGACCAGGATGATAAGGACAGTTGGGTTGCCTTGCCGTCCTGCACAAATTGTAAGCTTGCTGCGATGATATCTGAATGTCTCCTTCACTTACTGAACTAATTGTCGAGCTTCTGAGCGTCCTTTGTTGAGTTAGTGACTATGCTCACTGCTGTACGAGATTATATCGCTGCCACATGTGTTCAAACTTTTTAGACACTTATTTGATTTCCATTTGCTACATCACCAGTGTGTTTTTTTGTTTGTATCGCACTTCCTTTGAATTTTTTGGCCGTCAGGAATAAGAAGCTTTTGGACTTTTTGTGACGTTTCTCTAGTAAAAAACTTTTTTGACTATTCAATGACTTAAAAACTATTCAAAGAAATAATGAATTTAAAATGTATGCATTTTTAATTGAGCTATTCCAATTCAATGCCAAGGCCAAGTTAGCGCTAAACTAAATACATTTTCTCCAAAAATGAGTCTGATTTGAATTTGGAAATTTTTAGTGATGCCTTATTCATTAATATTTTGAACCTAATTGAGGTATCATTGCTAATGATTTACTTCTGATTACACTTTGATCATGTTTTTGTTCATAATTCATGGGATCTTTTTAATTATAATACAATCTTATGGTTTGGGTTGTTATTAGTGCATGGTATTTTTAATATGGCGTCTTATATCATGGGAGCTTTTTGGTGTGGTATTTTTGTCCTGACACCGTGATATATTACTCGTCCTTGCTTGACCTGTTTGTTAGTGGGAAAAGACTAAAAAATCATACAACAAACTCGAATACTAAATTAATTTGTTTCTGAGGTCGGAACCTTGACTTTTTGAATGATTATTTTAACCTTGATAAACAAAACTCATCCCTCAATTATTCAGAGATTTTGCAAATGAACAAATCTAATCGGATAATTATTCAGAACGTCAGTCATTTTTTTTTTCAGATTCTGTGCCAGATTGTTCGTGGCAGCTGACCTTGGCGAACAGCTGGTGAGTGATGTTCTGGCCAACTGCAGTCGCAATCTGAGGCCAGTGGTGGATGTAAACAACCAAGTGGTGGTGGGGGTGGATTTTATCATCAACCAGATCAATTCCCTCGATGTAGTCGATCAGGTAGAAAAAATAAACTCATTTGAACCATTTAAAAAAATTCTTAAGGATTTGACTGCTTCCTATTGATAAAAAAGTTTCAAAAAAAAACTCGATATACGCTTTCAAATACAAAAAAAAATCAGCATTTTGAAAAATCCATGATTCCTGTAAAAACAGAAGCCATAATTTATGGATTTCACTCCACAATCTCGAAATAAGGCCTTCAAGTAAGAATTTTAAGTAAGAATTTTAAGAAATTTAAGAATACAAAAACTGAGTTTTATGAAAAATTGGCGTGGATTAGTTTCAGAGGTTCCGCATCTTTTTAGGTGCTGGATTTGTCTCTCTTCATTGGGCTCAGCTGGCGGAATGAGAAAGTGTCCTGGGACACGGCAGACTACGACGGACACGACAGAGTCTTCTTAACACAGGACGACAACACCTGGCTTCCCGACATCGGTCAGTGTTGTTGTCGCATTCTTTTTTGTGGTATGAATAGTGGTTTTGTAATTTTCCGAATACCGCGAAGGTAACAAGTCTGTATATTTAGGTGTGCTGTTCAACAATATTCCACGAGAGAAGCTTAAACAGTAACGCCCCTTTAGTTGCCCTCAAGTCAAATATACTTGTTTCGTATATTTTCAGCTATCATTCATCTAAAAAACTATTTTATTGTCTAGTTTACAGCTAATTGAGCTTAGATTTTTTGAAATAACTACAAGAAAACTCTATTAAGGGGCATAAAACTTGGTTTTGAATTATTCGAAATGGAAGCTAAAACTAACAGTTTTGTAATAAATTTTCTGTGATTGCCTCGACTGCAAGATTATTCAACAAAAATTGTTTGCTTAACAAATTTGCTTAGTTTCCTTAAAATATCTGAAAATGCGGATCCTAAAAAGATCTTTACTTGATATACTTTTGACGTTTCTTAGCGTTTAGTGAAAATTTAATCTTGCTCTGTAATAAATTCAACGCGTGCTTTTTCCTTTAAATTTTATAATTATTTCTTTGTGATTAATTTCAGATTCAGCATGACATGAGCTCACTTCAAAAAGTTAATTTAATTGGTTAACCCAAGGTTAAGTTAGACCAGGTCACTACTGTTGCAAAATTTGGTATAAACTATGCAACAGACTCTAACTGCAAGCTCGTATCATTAGTCATAAGGTAATAATGGAGTTGGCTCTCTTCAAGCTATCAAGTTTTAACTATACAACAGATTTCAACTGCAAGCTCATTAGTCATGAGGTAAAAATAGAGTTGGTTCTTTGAAGCCATTAAGTAAAAAGGGAGTGTAACTTTTCAATGTTAAGATTAAATAGCAGGAGGTAGATTTTTTGGAGTTATAATTATATAACCTTTATTTTCAAGCCAGAAGCTTAAGACCATACAGTCAACAAAACTGTATGTTTGCAATTTAGTACGGTTAGGGAGAATACCAAAAAGAGGCATCCAGCAGTTCGGGTGGCCTATCCACGAGAAAAGCTAATCGCCCAGATTATCAGTTTGAGTCATTCAGACAAAACTGAAAAACAGTAGAAAAAATCAAAAATTTAGATAAAAAAACGAAAACCAACACAAAATTCAATTTTTGAGTGTTGTTTAGCAATCAAAATTATATGACCAAAAAGAATATGAGAAAAGGATGGAAAATTACTATCAAATATTTTTAAAAAAATTCGTTTTCACAAATTTAGAAATTTATGTAATTTTATGATAAAACGAGTCCAAATATTCATAATTAAATGTTAACACTGTAAAATTTTTGTCTTCTTGAAAAAAAATCATTATACAAATTACGAACTTATTATCTTTTTGCTCTTGTAGCAAGCTGATTTTAGCGTCTTGTGGTGATTGCCTGCGTTATTTCTTCCTTGTATTGCCTATGTTGACAGTTTCACTTATGCAAACGTGAAGATTTTTTTTCACAAGATCGCTTTATAAATCGCTTAATGTAAACCCAACCTTGCCTATTTTACTTCATGAGTTTGAAAACTTCATCTACATGTAACTCTCGAACCAGACTGAGTATAACTTGTCCCGATAATCTTTCAGACTTTTGTGTTTTAATTCAATTGTTCTTCATAACTTTTTTGCTTTCTGCTTTAGCAGTCATTTTTCAGCTGTGCCATCTATCAGTACACTATTTTGATATATTAGTTGAATATATTTTTGGTCTATCCTTCTTAAAATCATCTGAGTTGATATTTCATCGCTGCTGCGTTTTTCAAAATATTATACTGTGTGCTTCGAACTTCAAGCTTACTTCATTTATTGTTCCGACTTTCGATACGAAAGTAACGGAATATTTGTGCTCGGGGTGGGTTTTTTTTTCTTCAGACAAATTTCGACTTTTTAACTAGCCAATTTTGACGGACTTTTTTTATATCATTCGAAAGCTATTGTTGTCTTGAGCCTAAATTTGAAAAGAAATTTCAACTGTGATCATTTTTCGTATAGTTATGAGGGTTTAAAGATTGCCATTTTGACCAATTTGGGACAATTAACGCGCGATATAATTCGCGCTATTAACGCGTAAGCGGAGATTTAATCCGTCTTAGAAATCGTTCCAAATTGGGTAAAAGAAGCTTATTTGCCATAATTGATTTGTTACAAGAAGTGAAATCTATTGTTTTGTACTTTATATGGCGTGTGGGGGGATGATTTTCATTAAAAAATTTCCAAATTTTCGAGAAAAAAATTTTTCATTTTATTTTTTTTTCATTTAATTTTTTTTTCTATGTTTTTTATGTTATTACAGCTCCATAAATGTTAAAAGGCAGTCGGAACTTTCAGGCTTCGCCCTGATACGAGCAGTCTTGTTAAAATTAAGTAACTGTTGGATAAAATAGTAATTTTTTTTATTACTCAAATGTCTTTTTCATCCTTGCTTATAAAGAGCTTTTATTCAACGTTTTAGAATCAATTTCCTTTTGCTTTTGAATTTTTGTTCCGACTTTCGATACGAAAGTAACGGAATATTTGTGCTCGGGGTGGGTTTTTTTTTCTTCAGACAAATTTCGACTTTTTAACTAGCAATTTTTGATGGAATTTTTTTATATCATTCGAAAGGTATTGTTGTCCTGAGCTCAAATTTGAAAAAATATTTCATCTGTGATCTTTTTTCGTAAAGTTACGGGGGTTTAAAGATTGCCATTTTGGGCAATTTGGAACAATTCACGCGCGATATATTTCGCGCTATTAACGCGTAAGCGGAAAGTTAATCCGTCTTAGAAATCGTTCCAAATTGGTTTAACGAAGCTTATTTACCATAATTGATTTGTTACAAGTAGCGAAATGTATCTTTTAGTACTTTATATGGCGTGTGGGGGGATGATTTTTTGTATAAAAAATTTCAAATTTTTGAAAAAAAAATTTTCATTTTGTTTTATTACTTTTAATTTTTTAATGATTTTAATGCTCCATAAACCTTAATCTTCCAAATTTTAGAGAAAAAAAATTTTTCATTTTATTTTTTTTCATTTAATTTTTTTTTAAATGTTTTTTATGTTGTTACTGCTCCATAAATGTTAAAAGGCAGTCGGAACATTCAGGGCTTCGCCCTGATACGAGCAGTCTTGTATATTTAATTAAAGAATTAAAGCATACAAGGCACAATCATTGCCTTAATCGGCGATAATCGGCCTGAATCACAACAAATATTACTTTCATCGGCCTACAAACGTTTGAAATTTTTTTCACGTATAGCAAAAAATCAGCTGAACAAATCTGACCTTCCTGATAACTTTTCAATTATCTCAAAACTTTTGTTTTTGAAGAAACTTAGTTTTCGATAAGAAATTTGAACACAATTGTGTTGGACCATCACTGTCGATTAAAAATTTATAAAAGAAGTCTATTCTTGACTAGCTGCTCCTTGTTTTTTGTGTACTATCAAATTTCAAAAATTATAGCCCAAACAAAAAGAAATTATTTTCAAGGTTTAGAGAGTCACTTGTAGACACCAAAAAGTTTCAAGTTTACATACACATCGTAGATGTTTCCAAGCTGCAATTTCAAGAAAACAGATAGTTCTGTTATCGAGCAAGAAACTAAGAGTTGCTCATTTCAGGCTTTCTATGAATAACAGTTATAAAAATTTTCTCCTCACGTGTTTTAGTTGAATTGGTCAGAATTTACATTCCATGTGAAATCAGTTCCTCAAAAAAAATTTTACGAACTACTTTGGGGCACCTACAAAAAACGACTATCCACTGTTTCAATAGGTTGATATAACTGCAGCTTGAAGATAACCCAATTCATCATGTGTTTAAACCACATTTTAGTAAGAGGAATAATTTGGTGTTCATTGAGTTTAGCTTGAAGGCTATTTTAAAAATAATAGTAAATTTTGCGTCGATAAGCAAAATTCTGCAAAAAATAGACGTCCAGTTTTACGTTTCTTTCCATTTCTGGTCTTTTTTGAACAAAATTATGTCCTGTACACTTATATATAAAACTCTTTTAATTTGTTGGCTACTTTTCTGAAATTTTTTGTGATAATCGTAATCATTTTTGTTTACAGCTAAAGTGAATTAATACACAGATTGCTAGTATTGAATTTAAGTTGTTTAATTCAGTCTCATTCCTCTTTAGGAAGACAACACAGTTTAATTTATGAATTTGCTGAAATTGCGACTGTGGGTCTTTATCTAGTCTTGAAAAATTTCAAATCGTATTGCTAGAAGCACAACTAAGAAAGTTCATAATCAAGAAAGCAAATTGAAAAAATCCACTGAGAAAAGACACTAAAAAATCTGGTACACCTGTATGAGGGAAATTTTCTGTAGATGCTAAAAACGTTTTTAGGATAAAAAGAAATCAAAATCAAAACAAGACTGCTCGTATCAGGGCGAAGCCCTGAATGTTCCGACTGCCTTTTAAGGTTTATTGAGCAGCAGTAATACATAAAAAAAATTAAATGAAATAAAATAAAATGAATTTTTTTTCTAAAACTTGAATTTTTTAAATGAAAATCATCCCCCCACACGCCATATACAGAACAAAAAGATAATTTTTGTTCCTTGTAACAAATCAATTATGGCAAATAAGCTTCGTTCACCAATTTAGAACGATTTATAAGAGGATTAAATCTCCGCTAACGCGTTAATAGCGCGAATTATATTGCGCGTTAATTGTCCCAAATTGGTCAAAATGGCCAAAATGGCCATCTTTAAACCCTCATAATTCTACGAAAAATGATCACAGGTGAAATATTTTTTCAAGTCTAAGCTCAGGACAACAATACCTTTTGAATGATATTTAAAAATTCCGTCAAAAATGGCAAGTAAAAAAGTCGAAATTTGTCTGAAGAAAAAAAAACCCACCCCGAGCACAAATATTCCGTTATTTTCGTATCGAAAGTCGGAACAATGACAGAGCGATAAAACAATCAAATATATTTGTTGAGATTCGCAATTAGTGTGAACTTTAAAACTGCTTTATCTTGGTAACCCTTTTTACTTATAACTGCAACTTAAGTTTGCTTATTGCTACAGAACTGAAAAATGTTTAGATTACCGTATAAAAGTGTGCACTAACGATGTTCTTGTGTTTACGACTAATTGGAAGATAAAAATTGTTTGCTTCAAAGGAAAATGCTGAATTTCAATTTTTTGTGGATTTGAAAAATATAAGAAAAAATGTGGGAAATAAAACAAAACAGGTAGTTAGAAGTTGACAATTTTGATAGAAAATTAAATAATTTGTAATGTCACTAATGTTGCTCATGCAACCGATTTTTCAAAAATAGCTGAACTAAATATACAATTCAAAGTTTTGGTTTCGAGAGTTGGCTTTCATTTTCACCAAACTAGAGTTCATTAGAACTCATATGCTTCACTTCTCAGCGTTTTTTTAGTTTCAACTTGGGAGAGAAAAATAGCGTAGAGTTTCATGCGTCTCTCTTCAATTTCAGTTTTGAATGCATGAACTGTAGAACTTGACATGACGCCTTGTTTGCCATGCATTGTTTTTTAATATTTTTTATTGTTTTTAAGCCATCCGCATGGTCAAATTTTTCATGTCGCTTTTGCCCAGGGTCATTTTTTTGCACAAAACCGACACGCTGCACATCCTCATCAACACTGAGATGAAACCATTTGTGGTTGCCTTCAGTTTATGTTTGAGATAATATGGAGGAGAATCTCGCTCATGTATATTTTATTCTCTTTCAGTTTGTTCTTTTCCTCGTTCAAATTATTTCGTTAGCTTTAAATTGCCTATTTTTCCTTCAAATTCACCAAATTCACATTAACAGTAAGAATCGTTAGATGGGGTTGATTTTTAGTACCCGGCTTCAACTGGTACGTACTCAATAAGCTCAACGAAGTATTATTTTGTCTCAAATCTTTGAAAAATTAACCAATTCACTAGGAAGCCTCTCGTTCTAATTAGATATATCAATTAATTTGCCATGAGCTAATTTAAAAAAAAAATTTTCATACCAGATACTAAACTGTTTGCCATCAGCAGCAACGAAACTCGTCTGATGTGGAGTTTCCATTATATAAAAATTATTACAAAACTTTTTCACATTTCTTTCAATCAGTGTTTCCATTATGTGATCAATCAGAATCAGTAGAATTGAACTGACAAAAATTTTCTTTCTGGTTCAGCTCCATTCACATCGTAAACATCAATTTCCAGGGCTATTGCATTGAAGCCATCTTCAAATCCATATTTTGTAGTGGTAATGTCACATTCGAAATAACTAAAACAGCTAACAGATATCATGAAAGAAACATCTCTGTAAGTTTACTGTTGTCCATTGAGTGCGCTTCAAAAGTTCTTTGCTCGACACAATCATGCGTAGGGTTCCCATATGATGAACGGGATCCACAGATGCACAAGATCGAAAACCTGAGAAGCGCGAATTCAAGAAGACATCGGATCCATCAAAGCACTCGACTATACCAAATTAATTCTTTTTATCACTGATCTTTGAAACAAGTCATTTGTAAAACAAGGTAGCCAATACGCTGTTTTACTCAGGCAAAATTCATGTTCTTCTAATGGCAACGTTGTGAAGCGCATCTTTCGTTAACCAGTTCAAATGCTCTTGAGTATGAACTACTGACAAGAGACTGCAACACAAAATATTTCTTTCATTCGGCGTGCCGTTCGTTCTCTTTCTGCATTATAAGAGATACTCATTTCTGCCTACTTGCATCTATATAAGTTGCATTCTGCCTACTTGCATTCTGCCTACTCCATCTGTTTAAGTTACGCATGACAAAAGTTTCTCAACAAGAGGTTTACTGAGTCTCTCGGAATCTTTGAATTTATGAGCGGCGTCTGTTTCTGGATTGATGATGTTCAAACCACCCAGTCTTGCCGGAAGCTCTAGCACAGATCTTTCAATGTCTTCTGTTGATACTCAACAAGTCAATTTTGGCAAAAATTGTGTTCTAATTTTGCTTTTGACTTTTGTAAGATTACCCTTAAATTCATCCTGGCTACTCAGCGGTGTGAAATAAATTCTCAAGTTCTTTTATACGTCCATCAGTCTTTTTGAGAACCACGTAACTTTACTATAAAATTGACTTTTCAACCTTTTCTGAAAGGAAATTTGCTTTTAAGGGTTAAAAAAGCAACTGTTATTTAGCTATGTTTGTTCTTACCTTTCAGTGAATTGTGCTGAAATCATTTCTGCAAGTTATAAATTGAATTTAAAAAGCGCACTGATTTCAAAACGAGCCTTTTTTGTACTTTTGGTTGTACTGTGTTGCATCTTATTTTTTGCTGGACATCAAAATATAAATCCTACGGTTTTGATGGCTTCGTAGAAAGTTAAAGGTAAAAAAGACCCAGTTAAATTCCCTTCAAGTATTTGGCTTAAATTATACCTGTTGATTGTCGCTTTGATTGATGATCTAAACAAAAGAAAAGATTCTGTTTTACAAGAGATGATTTAACAATGCATCAAAAATGGTTAGAGAGAATTTCTTGATGTTGTAAGCACTTCTGTAAATATTGAAAAGCTTTAAGTTTTTGTATTCATAAAAAACGAACGAAAAAAAATAGGATATTGGCTACCAATTATACATTTTTTACTCATCATATGATTTTATTGAAAAAATACTTAATTACAGAATTGATGGTAACTTTTAGGCAAGATTCATGATTAAGACATGATAATATGTTTTTTTACCTTATATAAGGGTCAGCAATTCCCGTCGGAAGATTAGTGTTTCAGGATCCAGAACAGTTTCGATAAAATGGCCAGTTTCGATTGAATGATACATCCATAGTTTCTTAACAACACCACTTTTCTTATTTCGAACAAATTAGATCCTTTTAACTAGCTAATGAAGCGGTATCTCTGAGTTTCATCCCAGGTTGAAAGCAAAAAGTTGCCATTTCATTGTCCCATGAGTCACAATGAACTTGACGTTTTTCGGTGATATGTTACAATAGGTGGTAATTCTGAGTATAGTGCGTGTATCAAGTTTCAGAACAATTATGCATAATATAGTCATTTTGTTTTCAATCAATTGTTCTACTATTTAGATAGTTTTTGTAATTACATTACTCAGCCAAATGAAATGCTATTCTAATACTCAACCTTTAAATTTTTTTGCTGAAAAATTTGGCTTTTGAAATAAATTGTAAATAATGTGCGAAGTATAACAAAAAGCGATCGAGCTATTGAAATTGAACCTACCACCTATTGTAATATATCATCCGTTTTTCTTAGTTTTCTACAACCAAATCAGCGGCCACCACATAACTAGGGACCTGCCAGTGCCCTTCATGGTTAACTCCAGCGGCCACACCTACATGTCCCGCCCTTTGAGGGCTGACTTCCTATGTGCCCTGAATGCGTACTACTTCCCCTTCGACCAACACGTCTGCAGACAGAAGATAGGACCATGGATAAACCCGACTGATCTGATCGACGTGCAAAGTATGCATTTTTTTTAGCAGTCCATAAGTTTTTCTCCATAGCAGTCCATGATTACAAAGTACTTGTGAGATGACTAATCAAAATATACTAACTTGTTGAAGGGAAGTGCGCGCCGGGGGTGGGGGGGGGGGGGGGGGGGCGAACACCTTTCCTAAGGGATTCGACCCTCTTCCGACCCAAAGGGTCCCCCTTTGTATTATTTTGAGATATCCACTTTGGATGAATGACCTTAAAATATTTCTAAAGGCGCCTTTGGCGCCACTATATACTAGCTTTGACGGGGGAGAGCGCGCCGAAAAGCCGAAAAAATGGGATTTTTTGGTCGAAATTTTTCAAAAAGTCCATAAAAATGCCTTTTTGGCCTGTTTTTTTTTGAAAAAAAATGCCTGCGGTGCAGAAAGTTTGGTCAATATAGGGTCTTTATAGTGATTTAGGGGAGCTCAGAAAATCAATTTGGTCGACCTAAAAAAAAGGTCGAGAAAATTTCAAAACTTTTTTGAAAATGCGCCCCCTGGAGATTCCTAGATCGGCGCCTGGCCTGCAGGTTAGCTATTGAAAAATAAACGTTCTTGTACAAAAAGCTTTGCAATTGAAGAAATTGAAGTATTGAAGGAAAAATGTTTCTAAGCAATTGAAGCAAAAATGTTTCTGAAAATTTCTGGCACCAATAAAAATGAAAGTATCGAAAAGTTACAAGATTAAATTTCAGCCGTAGTTTCGTTTATTCAGACGATGCGGCCATAACTTCCAATATTCTGACATCAAGCACTTCGTGGGAAGTCGTGGGCGTCAACGCTGAACACATGAAATTTTACCGAGATCGGAACTTCTCCTCTATCGTTTACTCAGTGCATCTGAAAAGACGAAGCGCCTTCTACGTGGCAAATGTAATCATTCCCAGCGTTGCGATTAACTACCTGACATTGTTTAACTTTGTAATCCCGGCGAACTCGGAGGAGAAAATCACTTATGGAGTCACAATTTTTCTGGCACAGACAGTCAATATGATGATGGTTTCAAATATGATGCCGCACGGCGCCAGTTCGATTCCCCTCTTTGGACAATATTTACTATTTTCTATTATTTTTATTGCATCTAGTCTTCTTGTTACAATTTTCCTGGTTTCCTCTTTCATCGATCAGATGTCGGATCAGTCGTACGGAGGAAAGGTTCTACGATTCGCCCTGAAAAATATTAGCCCAATTTTGGGTCCCAAAATTCCGAGGCGAGACGTATCAGGAGGTGACAAGAAAGTCGAAGAGCTCGCTTTAGACGACAAATCGGCCGACAAAATTTCGGCTAAAGATTCAGTGCCTGATAATACTGTGCAAGGTGGTGAAAGTAAGACAAACAAACGAAATGGTTCGAAGAAAGCGTCTGTCGAAGATTTGACTCATGATGAACAAATTCTGATTGGTTGTGTGACCTTGAACCGAGCTTGTTTCCTGTTCTCCTTTCTTCTGATGACAGTTATGACATCCGCTTACATGATTATTCTAAACACCACTTCCGACAACGAAATTCAACCATCCCAATTTTCTGCTTAAATGGGACGAAGACGGAGATTTCAGACAAACGAAGAAAAAGCCTTGATCCTATCGCAAAAAGTACTTTGACATAATATATTCTTTTTCTAAGTATAAACTCGCGCCTATAAAAACGGCAATGGGAAGGGACCTTTATTGAAAAAATTCATGCTGTTTTTTTTAGTATTCAATAAAGCAAAAATAGTATAATCATAAAGTCACTAATCATCATTAACTTTCTAACAAGTTAACTTTTGTAAAAGCGACAAGGTAAGTGACCATGTGGTTTGAGTGAAATAATTGAAGGTTTTACATTTTGATGGTTCGATAACAAAAATTTTCATTTGCAAATTAGTGACAGAACTTGTTTTGAACGTTGTGATTTCGATTAGAATTTTATTGGAGTGTGCTAGCAACTAAAGAAGGTTGTTATTTGAATTAATGGAATTAACGTAATTCATAGATGCTTGGCATAGAATGATATAACAGGCAGTTTTCAAATGTTAATGTTGTAAGACGTTGCCTGCTTTATAAATTTCTGCGTGTACTGTCAGATTCTTTTAAAGTTTATTTGAGATTTTTCATAATCAACAGTTTTATAAAGCGCATAGTGATGAGCATTGTGCCTATTAGATTTAAAAAACTAATTTTCTTTTATTTTTTAGACGAAAAACAAGTGAGCTAAATAAGATAATTGATAAAATTGTTCATTTGCTCAAAACATTGGGAGTTCATTTTTGCTGGATTATTGCAAACTTCAGTTAAAAACTCAGGTAAAAGTTGGCTAGTTTACTGCATTCGTTAAAATGGGCACACTGTTCGAACCTAATATGCTAATTGACCGGTGGCTTTTTATGTCATTACTTAAATTTCATGTATCATTTTAACTTAGTAGAACAAACGCATGACTGAAAGCTTTTATACTCATCTTTAAATATAAATGTATGTCTGACAGATTTTTTAAAGAGAAGTTTATCCTCTATCATAACCTCACCGGATAAACACTTTCTGAGTGAATTTTTTTTCTTGATCCCTCGCCAAAAGCTATTAAAACTGTTACCAATAACAAGCCAAATTGAAAAAATGTGATTCGTTTTCGATTCGTAAATTCAAAAACCCTTTGAAGCATAAATTGTTCCTCATGGCTTGCTTTGAAACGGGTATTTGAAAAAAAGATGGCAAAAAGTCTTTGAAAAAAGCAAACAGACATCAAATTATCCGCACCGACAACGTCTTGCAGTGTCTTGCAATCGATAAAAAAATTTTCTTCTGTAAAAAATCCAATTAACCCATTTCATTCTTTCCAATTTGATTTACGTTTTTAAATTGCTATTGAAATCGATTTTCATACACAATTTTATATGTAGAAAAATCGATTGAAAATGATTCCAATCTCAAGTGTGTCAGTGCGGGTAAAAAGTAGTCCGAACATTCAGGGTTTCGACCCGGTAATAGCAGTCTATAGCATTTTTAAAACGAACACAGAACAGCGCAGAGAGATTAGTTTATCTATTCACATCCAAACTACTCCCCGAAAATGGCTCTCAATTTCAATTTAACAACCAGAACTATGAAATTAACGGGAAGGAGGGAAAAAGGGATTGAAATCAAACACATGAAGACATCTCAAAAATGTTTCAGATATAGGAAATTTAGAAGTCAAATATCAGACTATATCAAACGATTTTTAAAATAGGTAACAATCAAAAACTCTGGGGTCAAGCCAATTGCACTTTAGTTGTCCAGGTTTTTGGAGCCCGGCATCCGGCATATGATCATTGCCAAATGTCTGGAACCGAAAATTAGAAAAATTTAAAAAAACCGCGACGATGAGTTGAAGCGGAGTCAAGCTGATGCGACTTAATCGACCACCAGACGTGAACTGAACTCCGTTGTGATATCCTATGCGGAATCGTGTGAAAACTAATAGTAATTCAAGAATGTATTCTGACTTACTTGAATTTACTTTTTCTTTTCTTTTCTGAAATCTAGTAACTGAGAGTGAAACTGCAGAATCGAAACTCTGAGTTCTCAAGCTGTGTGTCAATGTCATTTCACATATGACCTTGTACACATTATAATAATAATAATACCCCCTTAAGAGGAAAATAAATTTTTCAGTATATGAAATAATTTTTGTTAAACAAGAGTTTAATACACTCAGTTCACAGATAGTTTTTCCGTATGAATTTTTTTTCTTGTAGATTGTTAATTGGGATTTTCAATTCCTAATTTTCCTCAAGGTCTATTCTCCAACAAGGATTCCAATCCAATCCTCTGTCGAATGTTGCATAACCAAACTTACTTCGGAATAAATGCCTCTCCAGAATATGTAATTTCGATTCTACGGGCCTGTCACTTCGTTCTCGAAATTCCGTTAGCCTCGGTTTGTATTCTTGTAGTGCAGCCTTGAGTAATGCTCCCCCTGATAACTCCTCCTCCGAAACTTTTTTGATGGAATGTTTGACTGGATCTCTTCGGCTCTTTGTTCTTTGTTTGTCTAGAACTTCGTCTTACACCTGAGTCTTCAGCGCTAGAGTCATCCGGAGCCCCCTGGGGAAGTTTAAATATTGTGTCCTTTTCGAATGCTGACTGGACATTCCCCCTGAGGTCGTCTGCGAATTTTTGTACCCCTCTTTTCAGAAGTTGATCTGCAAGATTCTCCCACTCTGCGGTGCCAAATTTTGGTTTTGAAATGTATCTAGAATGTCCTGCGGCCGTGTTTGTGCATCTATTGACTTTAGTTCAGCTTTTTGTTTGGTTTTCGGGGTAGAGCTCGTGTGAGCGTCTGTGTTCGAGGTATCCCAAGGTGACGTTGATTGCTTGTTGCTATGGTCAGCTGTGATAGCAGTTTATTTTGAACATTTACCCTGTTTGTCTACTACTGTTTTTCCCTTCGTTTTTTTCTCACCCTTCTTCAGAGCAAGTTTTGGGTCCAGCCGATGATTTGGGTCCCGCCGTACTCGGGTTCGCTGTCTTTATTGCTCGATTTAGACCCCCTCCAGTGACCTTTGTCTTTTGAGGTTACCACTGTTTGGCTTTGTTGGAATCGATCCACCGGGTTCACAAAATCAGCTAACTCGACTGCCCGACGTAATTCTTCATCCGACTCAATGTCTTCTAAAACTTCGGGGCAACTGATTCTCTGGAATTTCTTATTCGGCTCTGCCGATGGGCTTTTGCTCTCGCTCCGCGGTTTATCTTGTGTAAGGAGTGTTTTCTTTTGAGCGATGTCTGATTTCCTATAAATAGATCCCGTTGACGTCTTGACCGTCGAATCAGTTTCGGACACTATTCTTCTTTTCAACTTTTTGTCAGTGCTTGTCCACTCTTGCGTAACGGGTCCTTTCGCAAAATCGTTTTCTGTGGAGACTTTGTATTCTCCATTTCCTTGTCTTCTATGAACCTCTTCTCCCAGGAGTATATCATCTCTTTCCGTAGCTCTGGGTTCGATAGTCCTGTTTCATCGAAAATCCGCCGTATGTCGTTTTTCGCTGCATCTCTCTTTTCCTGATTCCACTGGGCGTTGGCTTCCAGTAATTCCTTGAGAGCTTTTGCTCTTTGACGGTCCTTGTCCGAATGCACTTGCTGTTTGTACAGCGGATTAGCGTCTCTACTGAGATTTCCCTTCCTGACTTTCTTCAGATTCTCCCGGGATTGGTCAATTCTTTGTTTCAATTGAGATGCCGTCAATGCCGACCGTTCCAAGTGTTGGTTGTCTAAATAGTCAGAATTTTTTATAAACTTATCTCGTAAGATTTTATATTCATTTTTTGGATGTTTGCCAAAGTGTGCTTGAAAAGGAAATGGTTTTCTACTTGTTCCACCGTAAGTCTCGCATAATTGTACTAAGACATAGTGTGATAGATCTCTTATTTTCTTCTAACAACATCACCCCCAATCTTCTTTTTATAGTTTGTATTGTTCGCTTTATTGAACCACAACCCCGATGGTCACCCACAGGACAGAATTTCTGTTGATTATTGAGTTCTGTACAAACTTTTTTGGTGTTTTCTCCTTAAATCCTGAATATTGATCGTACCGTATTGACTCTGGAATGCCGTGTATATCCAATACGATCTGAAGACATTCACCGTACACTTTCCACTTGTTGATTTAGTAACCTTCACCAACAGAAACTTCGAATATTTATCTAGAGCTGCTAGAAGGTAAATCTTTTTCCCTCTGTGGTTTTCTAACGGTCCTGCATAATCTAATTGCACTTCCTGTCCCGGCTGCGTGAGCAGTGGCAGTGGTTTCGATGCTTTTATCGGAATAAGATATTTTACGTTCTTACCATATCTAGTGCAACTACGACACTCTTCCGTTAGATTCACTATATCCTTATGCACATGCGGCCACCACAAGTACTGTGACACTCCTAGCATAGCTTCTTGGCCCGGATGTCCCTGGTGAATCCTTTTGAGTACCGCTTGTCTCAGTTGTAAAGGAACCGCCAGTCGGTTGTTCACCAGAATTCAATCGTCTTGCACCGCCATCTGTGACCACAGTGGATTAGTGTATGGTCCCATCAGTTCGAAACCCTGCTTATCTCCCCGCTCAATGACTCGTGGAAGACGGTCCATCCATGTGTCTTCAATCGTCAGCTCCGCCAGAAGACTCTTATCAAACAACCTTGATAGATTGTCCAGTGACTCCTCCTTCTGCTGTTTTTGCAGTTTCTGTTTGTTGGACATTTTGGGTTGTTCGATTGCACACACCTCATCGTCACTTTCAATGACCTCTGTTGTTGTCAAATCCTTTCCAACTACTTGAACCTCGCTCAATCTCCTTTCGTTCGAAGTAGCTGGTGTGATACTGATCGGTCCTTGGGATGATTGATCCTTGATGCTGATTGGCCATGCATCTGGAATCTTACAAGTTTCCTCCTACGTTGCCACTAACTCCCTGTTAATATTTACTGGAGAGTTTGCTTCACCCCCAATTAATTGCCAAATTGACAGTAGACTTTTATTTGCCTTCTTCTGCTGCTCCGGTTGTAATTGCCATTTAACTCTTGAGGGAATTCTTGCCTCACTGTCCGAACTGTCCCTGTTCTTACTGCCTCCGCGAATTATCTTTCTTGTGGGCTGCAGTGTTTCCGTAACTTCCTCATCTTCGGAGAATTCATTTGGGTTTTGTCAGAGAGCGATTCCATTTTAGGTCCAGGATGCTTTCCTCTCTTTCAACATTTCGCCACTCCTGTGGTGTATCCGACCACCAATCGTATGAGCGATTGAAATTTTTTGCCATCTCTTTATCAGAGTTAGTTTGCTTTTTCTGAACTTTATTGATGAAGTGGAATGTTTTTTCAGTTTTGTGAAACGACTGCTTGCTAAGTTGAGACGACGAAGAAGTGATCTGTTGCTCTTGAAAATTGTTGTTTAGCTGTTTTGACAGTCGCGAAAGTTGTGTTCTCTCGTTCCGGTCGAGCTCTGTTCGTTTTTGTACAACCATAGCAACCAATAAGCGATGACTGTTTTGGTACATTCCTTCTAGAAGGTTTTCGTTCCGGTCGAGCGACCCAATACCTTCTAACCTACTGCTCATGCAGTATAACGCTTCATGAAACGAGTTTATTGTTGCTACTACAAATTTTTCGTCTAATTCCGATTCGCGCC